ACACCGCTCTTTCAAAGTAACGAGTTCGCTCCATCCATAATCATGCAGGTGATTCAAACTCAACAGGAGGGGGGAGTTAAGCTCAAGAAACTCCAATTAGCCTCACGGGTAGGGGTAAGGCAAAGCAAACCGAGCTCTCAAGTCAAGCCAAACCGAGCCTAGCAAGGCTAAAAACCAAAGGCAGCTCCCCACTAGAGCTAAACCAAGCTCAGCAAGGCCAAAACGAGGGCTCAAACATTGATACAAATTCAATTTTTAATAGAAATTAAAATCTCAGCCACCTCTAAACAAATCAAAAATCAGTAAGAGCCCAAAGTGAGCTTCTTAAAGCTAGCAAAAAAAACTTCAACACCTCAACAAAAGGGCAACATCTCCTACCTTTGCAATGAAAACCGAGCACCAACAAAAGACCGAAGCCGAGCCATTCAAGGCCCAAAACCGAGCCCAGCAATATCAAACTCCAGACTCCCATAAAGCATTAAAGATTCAACCCTTTCAAACCCAGAAACATGACTTCAAATCAAGCCAAAACCGAGCCCAACAGGAACCGAAAGCCAAAACCGAGCCCAACAAGATTAACACCATGCCCAGCAATATGAAACTTCAGACTTTCATAAAAAAAATTAAAGTTCTAGCCATTTCAAGCTAAAACCAAGCCTCCAAACCGATGAATCACCTGCATATCTAAATATTTCAAGCATGAAACAATTCCAACAGATATTTGAACAGGGGTGATGCCTCATGAGAAGCTAAACCGAGCCCCACACATGTATAAAAAAAATAAAATGAACTCTCTAGCATTCATTTTTAAGCAAGAGCAAGTCTTAAGATGCCAAAGCCGAAACCTCCCTAGCATGCATGAAAGCCCCAATAAATAAAGCCGCGGCAAAGAGGAAAACCGCAAGGGAACAGGGCACCAAAGGAGGGGGAAGAGAGGGGTACCTCAAGAACGCCAAAGTAAAGCCTTGCAACACAAGAAGCTACCTCAAAGATGTGCTCTCACAAGAATCTCCTTTCCAATCTCCTCTAGCTAAATTTTTCAACAACCTCAAAAAAAAACAATGAAACTCTCCTTATAGGCAGAGAAGAAAGGGTAAGAAGCAGAAGGTCCCTGCTTGAACCCACGGCGCTCGAATCGGGCCAAGCCAAGAAAAGAAACGCTCCCTGCTCACAGAAGGCGAAGCCACTCAAGTCTCTCGGACCGAGCGGCGAAGCCAGTGGCAGCGAGGGAAGCAACGAGAAAGGGAGAAGAAAAATGTCATGTCATTCCAGTGTACCAGGAAACAAGCTCCCCAGAGTCAACTTACCAGAGAAGGAAAACCCATGGCTCAAGGGACTGGCGCGGCTTCGGGAAGGAAGGCCGCGGGCAGAAGAAAGTCAGGGAAGGACGGACGAGGTCAACCCTTCCCTCGCGTGGAGGAGGAAGAGCTCGCACGGCTCGAGACCGATAAAGGGAAAGGGCCAGACACGCGAACGGGAGAGTTGCGGGAGACAGAGCTCGAGCGCAGGGGAGTGTTAGGGATTAAAGAGGAAAGGGGGAAGGGTAAAAAGGTTAAGTAATATATATATAAATATATATATA